TCCCGTTGCGAAGCGCAACACGTACCCAGAACCAGGGCCCCATCAACTGGCCCCAGGAAGAATCACCCGCCAAGTTCTTTTGAGATGGCTAAATCCCCGAGGAGCTGAAGCACCGATAGCTCTAGTCCTTTGGTTTTCTTTTCTTGGTCTCTGCGTTCGGAACTTCAACATCTGCTGTCTTCTGCCTTCGCTTGCTCCAAGTTGCCCATCTAGAGCGCCCAGACCTTCTCTTCTTTTTCCTTTCGCTCTCGTCAGGTGTCTTCTTCTGATTCTCTTCGACCGTCTTCTTCTCTTTTTCTTCCATTGCAGCAAAAACCCTTTCAGTCAGAAAGTGGCCTGCCATACCGGCATGTTGCTCGGAGCAACCGAGTTCCATCATCCCCTCTGCCAGGACCTTCATCATCTCTTCACAAGTGACCGAAGTTTTTTGCGCCATGAGCGGCAAACGGAGGAATGCTGCTGGTTGACGAAGCTACGAAATTGAGACTCTTGTGAAGGCAGTGTCAGCTGTGCTTTGTAATGCTAATGCTTCAGTGAAAAGTCCCGTGAGGCATCATGGTTTACCAGGCCCATGGGCCTCTTTCTGAAAGATCCCTGAAGTTCAGAAGACACGTCTGAACCAAAAAATGCCGTCATGGAAACCAAATCATAATCCCAAATGACCCAGCAGCCAAACAAACACAAAAGCGCGTCAGTTTTCCCCACTGTGAAGTGTAGTTGCGTGCAATTTCAAAGCGCCCATCTGCAAACACTCGGTGAGCCCAGCCATGAAAGCAGCCTCCTTCAACGACTGTGAACAACTTCACCCAGCGCAACTGTCAAATTAACTAAGTGCTTAGTGTTTGCACCTTTTTGGAAAACCTGCCAAACGATGAAGTTTCACAACCTTTTCAGCCAACGTTTTCTCCTTGGGCTTTGTGCAGCAGGTTTCAGCCAGGTAGGCGCCCACACGATAATGTCCTGGCCAACAGATGGTGATGTTTCATGATCATCCCCAAAAGAACCATCGATGGGTTGCCAAAGTGATGGGCCAAGATGGTTAAAAAGTTTGTGGCTCCAATGGACTTTGGGTCGTCACGTAACGGGCCGCTACGAAAGGAACGTCCTGGAAGATTTGTTCGCGCTCACCATCGGCATAGGCCGTGTTCAACGGTCGGAGTTTGGTCCAAAAACCACCCACATGCCGAAGAAATGACCTGCTTGTTTTTCAATAGTTCCTTGCCGATGGTTATTTTGGCACCATGTTTAACCCACCAATTTCAACTATAGGGGGTCATGAATTGATGGCATGTCGCCACCTGGTCAAGTTGGTGGCTGGGGGGTTTTGTGTACTCCTACTGGGGCCTGTGCGTTGTTAGCATATGCCATCGGGGGAAAAGTATTGGTGAACCCAGCGGCATCCAGACATTTTTGCATTGCCCACTGCTTCCCCCACTAATCTTGCTGGCATTGCTCTGGGCGTACTTACATTGACCACAAGATTACTGTCCCGACCCAAAGGCCTTCCACGTTGACGACAGAACACCTCTAAAATCGACATGGTGGACATTTCAAGACGCAGAGTCATGCAGAGTCCAACTGGAAACTGTCAAGAAGACCCTCTCCCACATAAGATCAGTGCGCAAATTCAGGTCACTGTGCTGAGATGCACCCAAAGCTGCGTCCACAAGCGCAGTTTTCGGATCACATCTACCAGAGGCCTGAGTTGTTCAGCACCACTGCACACCTTCACATGTGCGACTTGCTACCATCAACAAATTTGGGAAGGTCCCATCGCTTACCACAGTTTTGGCCAAATCTACCATTCCGAAGTCTTGGGGGGTATCGCTAATACATATTAGATGCAGTCATCAAAGTCACGGGCACGAGACCCTGTGCATAATTATCCTTTTGGCCGTTGAGTACAGCTGCTTCCAATGATCTCTACCAACTAATTCTGTCAGCTACGCTTCAAGGCTCATGGTAGCGGTTCTCAAAATGTTACACGTGGCCTGGAGGAGAATCTCTTGAAGTTGGTCAGGTGGGCCACTGTCTATCTGGGACATGTTCGGGCATCGCTTGGGGTATCGCTAAGGCATCGCTAGGGGCATCGCTAAATTCAGTTTATAAATGTTTTTTGAGACAAACGTGCTGTGACATGAAACAATAGCAGGTGCTTCTGTCTGCTTCAGATGGGGTTGGTGACTGAGCGCTTGCCTGCCAATCTTTTTGCTCTTGTCTGCGTGTTGTCGCTATCTCAGCAACCCCTAAGCTGTAGCAGTGACAAATCCAAATGAAAGGCAAGCCCAAATCTCACGAGCAGCATGCAATTAAATGCAACACAACACTTGCAAATCACAAAGGTCCCATCGCTTACCTCATGTTTTCAATCTTTTTCAAAACCGACGGCGGCCAAAGACTACTTTACAATTACCGGAGTTTTGAAGGTTGCACACATGCCCCACTTTATTGCAAACCAAATAGTTGAGAGATGATGATTGGAAGACTGCGAATTGCTTTCGAAAAGAAAATATGTTCCCAAAAATTGAACAACTGAACAACAACGCCAAATCTGAGGACAAGCATCTTTCACGGAGAGCGCCGAACCGTTGGGAACTAGCTCTGTGAGCAAGGTCTTCAGACCTCCAGGTTGGAACCTTTCTCCAGTTTTCCGCTCCCTCGGCCAAGAGCGCCAGTGGGAGAGGTACAGGACACCTGCAGGTTGGGTGGAGGACAGCGACATGTAGTTTGCATTCGCGAAAACATCACCCAGGTGGCTCGACCAGAACGAAATTTCGCTTCAGAAGCCGCTTGTGACAATTCCTACCTCCCTTCCTCTCTCCCTCTCTCTCTCTCTCTCTTCCCCTCTCTCTCTCTTCCCCTCTCTCTCTCTTCCCCTCTCTCTCTCTTCCCCTCTCTCTCTCT